AATTATTTTATTTTTATTACTTTGTATATATATATCTTTATGTGTGGAAGAAGTTACAAAGTTCATAAAGCAAAATATTTTACCAACTTCATTAAATCGTATTCGAAGAAAAAGTTCAACCCGTTTTATTTCAAAAGAATACTTCTTTTCGATATTCGAGTTATACATCTTTCACGCTATACCAACTTATATATTGTGACCGTTCTTTTTGTTGAATGAAACTTTCGACGCGAATAGGTTCTAAACGAAAGAAGTTTGCGGCAAAATTTTGATACAGAAAAAAAATTCTACCATCTTCACAAGCAAAGTTATTGATTAAATAAATAAGTAATGTGATTCTGACATACTCGGTAGATTGTTCACAATTTTTATCTATGTAAGCATTTAAAAAGTAAGTTTAAACTTCTGCGAATGCTGAAGTTAATAAAACATACCGAAGCATGTTTATTTTTATTTGAAAATCATATAAATAATCATCATCATCACAAATCATATATAATTGTAAATAATATAAACTGACTGAATAATTTTTTGTTTATGAAATAAAAAATAAGTATAAAGTATGATTTTATTCTTTTAATATATGTGTATATTGTAACATCTATATAAATAACATTTTTACAGAGAAATTTTGGATAAGATTGTAATTTAATAAAATATTGGTTTTGAGAGTCAAATATCAAAATTTTTAAGCGCTTCGAAAATTTTCTAGATGCTAAAGTGCATGTGTAGAAAGAGTTGCAATTTACGAGACGTTGCCTGCCCATAAAATTGGAGACGATAAAACAAAAATAATTGACGATTTGAACTGTAAAACTAGGGCGAACAATATCATTGTATGATGAGCGTATTTTGTGAGCTTAATTACTTCATTTTGGAGTGTTACTGACAAAAATTTGCATTTTTAAAGTGATAGGTAGGTACCTTAAAAATAAAAGCAGCTAAGTTGAACTTTGTATTGTCGTAATACCCGCAAGGTATATCTCAAAAATAATGATAGTGATTTTTAAAAATTTTTCTACTAAATGCTCTCACCTTCAAAGTATAATAATACCGACACACCCTTTGGAAATAATATAAAGCCCAACGATTTTTTCATTAACTATAATAATGATGGAAATAATCTCCTGTAACAAAATTTTGAATGATCACAATTTTTCCTACAGTGTGTTTTTCTAATTATTACTGTGGTACATAACATTTAATTAGCTTTTTAGAATGAAGAAATTGCCCTTTAAAAAATGGTACTACTTGGAACTGTCGTGAGTTTTATTATTATCTAAATTTGTTTTGTATGCACGGAATATATAAAGACACACCATAAACAATTTTTTACAAAAATCTTCTGTTGTATCCGGATCTCCTTCAAAAGAAAACAAAAACGAGAAGTTTGCACTTCTTTTTTTACCAGCGACTCTATTTACTTTAATTAGGTGGTACCTAAGAAACGCGAAATAATTTTTTATAAAATTTTCGAATACTTACTTAATGTTGTGGGAAGGGCACGTCCGAATTTTTGCTTTTCATTATTTGACGTTGTTAGCTTAAGTGAAATAGACCATTTTCATAAATTCCTTGCCGGCAGCGTCACGTTTCGAGATTTATAGGTCTTTCTAATAACTCCCCAAGTCTTTCTTCCCCTTGTACACAACACGTAAAACATCCTTATGGCTTCCATCAAGTATGTTTCCTGACAGCGGCCATATTCACGCTGAAACGATGTTTTTTATTAAAGAGTAAAAGTAAAAATTGCCCCACGAAAGAGAGAGAAATGTTGACTTCAGTATAGTTTATTTCAACTACGAATAAAAGCCACTTACTTAAATATATATTTATAAACTATAAAAAATTTACGAGTAAACGACATTACCCATTGATTTTTGAGATTATCATCGTAATAATTTAGAAGTGTAATACGATAGGCATTCAATTGTCGAAATAATTAAATGAAAAGGTAATCTAGTTTTAAAGTTAGCTATAAGAAATAAAAACATAATTACAGTTAAAATAATTTTTGACAAGTCTTAAAAAAAAAACAAAAAAAATTACCGTTTTCTGAAAGTGATGGCGATGCTGAAAGGGAGATTCTAAAGTTGATGTAGTCTCTTCTTGAACTGGATTATGCATGTATCTGAAAGAATGAATAAGTAAGAGTTTAAAATGAAAGTAAATGGAAGTAAAAATTTAATAAAAGAAAAAAAAAGTTGGTGAAAAATTAAATAAACCTCACAACTACAAGAAATTAAAAGAAAGAATTGTTCCAAAAGAACAGAAAAAAGTTAAGGAAAGAAATCAAGAAATGTTTAAAATAAGGAAATCCTGAAGACACAATTAATGAAAACAATAAATCTTTCTTTGAAGTGTTATCCCCAAAATGCTCGAACAACGACCCTCCAATATACAGCAATTTTCATTTGACGAGTAGGAACTATTTATTATAATTTTGAAAAAGTTAACGAATTAAAAAAAGCATCTATTTATTTAAAAAATAGACAAAAGATATCAAAACAACTATGATCTAAGGATTATTCCGACTATCCGTTCTTTTGATAGAGTTAAGTATCCTAAGTTCTACATAAAATTTTATTATAAATTATTTTATTTTTATTTTTTTGGAAACTGACTTTTTCTAATGGGGGTGCTAGAAATACAGCAAGATAACACGCTAGTAGCATCACGTTGTCTTAAATACGTGTCAAGGATCGTCGATGACCACATACAATTAATTTTTTTTTGCACCCAAATGCTGTGAGGATGCTGTCTTAGTGTATTTTTATCACTCCCACTAGAAAAGGGCCATTTTCTACAGATTCTATTACAGTGTAGAATTTTTTAAATTGTATTACCTACACAAATACCCATAAATTACTTTATATAGTTAAAGTTTTGAATTTACTTTAATTAGAACAGTTGTACAACTATACGTAAAACAGTTGCTATTTCAATGACTGATGTCATATTTGGTTTTATTTGTTAATTAGTTATTCGGTTTACATGCGAGTTTTTCGTGTACACATAGGGGAGAGGAAGTGATTCGATTTTAAGTGGAATTTGAATTAGTTGACGTCCAATAGTCGGGTCACGTAAACGTGGCAACGGGGACGTTAATTGGTACTCATTTTATTTGTGCTAATCCGCTGCTGGATGCTTGTATATATATTTTTTTTTGGTTTGTTTAAGTCCTCGTCCATTTCATTTCTGATTCTGCAACACATCATGTAAATTTATTCTTGCGGTCTGAGCGCGAACAGTAGCTTCCAGTGCGATGGGGCGTCGTAGCTTAGCGTCGACGTAGACGCCGACGCACGGCGTCGGACGCCTGGTGCCATAAAATTGCAGAATGTAATCATAGTGCGGCGAACTGGCGTTCGATTCGCTTTGAGACACGTGCGGGCCTCTCTTTTTCCCCGTTCGACTCGACGCTTTTTCGATCTTGCAACCGACGTAATTTTATGTGTATGTTTGCAACGTTTATGTTGTATTTTTAGTGCGCAAACTTCCTTCGCGCGGATTCTTCGAATTCAAAAATAGCCAAACTGAACTAAACGGTAGTTAAGTTTCCTGGTTGAGAATAATTGTTTGTAAAAGTGGAACGCAAGAGGTAACGCGTATCGGCCGAAACACGTTCCGAAAATAGTTGCGTTTGTTTGAACGATCGTTAGCAGTTAAAGCTAAAATGTTTCTAAATAATAGTGTAAATGCAGAACTATTTGCAGGACGAAGTAATTAAAAATGTCTCCATCAGAAAACTTTGATTAATACGATGTGTTTAATAAAACTATTTTCGCGATGAATTTGGGGGATGGCGTTAAGCCTTCTATTGTTGGTTGTTGCTGCTTTGGCTCTAGCCGCCCCCGATTGGACAGATTGTCCTACTCCTTGTCACTGTAAATGGTCTTCAGGAAAGAAAACGGCAATATGCAGGGAGGGAGGCTTCGTTACCTTACCATCGACCCTCGATTCTGATATGCAAGTTTTGGATCTCAGTGGAAATTCGATTCCACATCTGCCTAGAGATGCATTTAAAAACGCTGGTCTAATTAATTTACAGCGAATATTTTTGCGCAACGCCCATTTAAAAAGAATAAATCGTGATGCATTCAGAGATTTAATCATACTGATAGAAATTGACTTGTCGGACAATGAAATAGCCGAGATTGAACCTGACACATTCCTTGGAAACGAACGGTTGCGAGTAATTTATCTTAACAGAAATCCTATAAGAGAACTGAAGCAAGCTCAGTTTCCTCCTCTACCGCATTTGAGAAGCTTGGAGATGGAGGAATGTCAGCTGGAAGCTGTTCACAGGAATGCGTTCATTTATCTCGCATCCTTGGAGAGTCTGAATATGAAATCCAACAGGCTTCGTTACCTTTCCGAAGCAGCGTTCCTCAACTTCGCACACCTGAAATCTCTCGAACTGAACGGCAATCCGTGGAGTTGCGATTGCAATCTTCGTGGATTCCGAGATTGGTTTCTTTCCAGTAAATTACATTCGGATCCGCTCACTTGTTTCGAACCGGAAAACCTTTCCGGGCTGCAATGGCAAAGCATACCATCGGACGACTTTGCTTGTCCACCCAATATAACACTGTCACATTATCCACAAGTTCGAGTTGAAGCGGGTGGAAATGTAACGTTTGGCTGTCATATCAGTGGAGATCCGGAGCCGGAAGTGACTTGGCTTTTCGATGGAAAACCAGCAACTAGCAACTCTACTATTGTAAGTTCGGAAGAAGGGATTTTAGATAAATGGGTGAACATCAGTGTGGTAAATGTAAGCGATTTGGACGCAGGTGTATATACGTGTCTAGCAAGAAACTCTTTAGAGTCGATTAGTAAGAATGTGACTTTAGTTTTACCGGAAGTAATGACTGCCACAACAGTCAGCAAATCCGATTCCGGTTTGTTAATGTGGATAATTATATGTGTCAGCTGTACGTTTATATTTTCGATTGTTTGTGCCGTAATAGCCGTCGCCTGTGTTAAAGTGCGCGGTAGAAATCGTCGAAAGAACTTGAAGGCTAGCGTCAGTTTTAACGATCAAGAAAAAAAATTGTTAGACGTGAGTATCGCCACGACGACTGACAGAGGTACCGGAAGTTGCGAAGCAATTTCAACGGAAATGGAAATGTCGGAACCGCCGGTTCATATTACAATCGAGAGTGAACCCTTACCGTTGACCGTCTATCCTCCTCCACCTGAGTTTTCCACGAGCGTTCTTCCGGCTGGCGCGTACGGAAATATTTTAATTTCCGTTTCTGTAAGTCGAGATCCGATGATAGACACGTCGAGATGTCCGGACCTTTTGGACCTTCCCCATAGGGCTAGTAAGACTGCAATATATCCAGGAATGGCGACGTTGCCCAGGAGGCCGAGAGCTACATTGCAGTACGACAACATGGGACCCCGGATTACCGCGGGGGGTAGTTCCACGCTCTCATTACCGGATTCTGCGGGAGACGTTCCACCACCACCTCCACCACCTCTTCAACTACCCCAGTGTACCCCGCTTACTTCCGAGTTTGTATCTCTTTAATCATCCTGTGGTTTGTCTTCAATTAGTGCCTTTGCTCATAAAATTTATTGCATTTATTTGTTGTTTAGGCCATGTGTACCTATACATAATTCAGTTCTAATTTCTTGTCCGTAAAGATCGATAATCACTTATGATACGATATTCGTTAAAAATCTGTAAGGCGTCCGCAACCATTTCGTTGAATTACTTACTACCAAAGATATAGTTTGGTTTATATAGAGAAAAACAATGTTTTAATGCAATCTGATATATAGTTGATAAAAATTAAGTTGAAAAATGCTTGGTAAACTTTCGGAAATAAGAAATTATTGAACGTGTTAATAATAATAAATAATTACGTATTTTTAAAATATCAGGAGTTGATTAACTTTTTCAAAAGTTTGATATGGATACAATTTACAATGACAATACTTTTGTGAAATAAACATCATTACTGTATATTTAGTTGGAAATGTTAAAGATGTACAATTGAAATTAATATTTAATGTGGGGCGCCTCATGGATGTCACTTCGTCAATCAGTAATACCATACCTAAATACTTAGATAGATAGAAATAATTCAAAGTTACATTTGTAAATACCCTTTATCTGCTTTCATGATATACCTAATACATTGTTATTTAAAACAATTTCTTGTTTCGTATTAAAGAAAAGTATTTCTACTTTCGTCTAATGAATAATATAAGCTCATACTACGTATATTATTATCTATATTCATAAAAGATGTTCAATTGAATTTTGGAGTAAATTTTATATGTTTTTATTTGGGAAAAAGGAAGATATGGTTTATTATTTGTTAAAATTAGAAAAACGTATTACCTGTACACCACTTTTAAGGTATATGTATCGTTTTTTTTTGTAATATACGTATAGAAATTTTATGCAATCTTTTTATTTTTAATATGTAAAGGTACCTAATACTTAAGTGAGATTGAACCGAAAATGCATTTTAGACAAACTGGCTTTGGTTCCTTCCATATTTATGAGTTGATTTTAAATTTTTTCATACGAAATTAGGAAAGCTTTATGAGATGTGCTTGCTTTATCGCACTTTTTCCTTACACTTATTAGTTCATTTTTTACGCAGAATCGTGTAGAGTGACGCTGCTGGTTTTATAATCCTATCTAATAAGAATGCTATGTCGTTAAAAGCACAAAGAGGGGTTTTTATGGCTTTTATGTACAATAGCGATAAGGGATGATGGTAGATCCATGTTTAGCATTTAGGGTTATTCTTTGCCACGAAAGCTGTAATTCTTGAGACGTGTGGCAGGTACGTTAAAATAATAATTTATCATTTTACAATACATAAAATTAAAAAAAAAATAACCGTTACAATATTTTACAGCTAATTTCTACTTGGTAGCATTTGACTTTTATGAAAAGGCGTAACTATAAAATGAAGTAAATTTGAACTATAAATAATATTTTATTTTTATATAAACGTTAACATTCTTTTAAAACAAGAGATCTATCAAAATCTGATATTAAGTGAAATATTAACAAGGGCGTAGTAAGGTCTTTTGTAACGTTAGAATAGGAAATGATTTGTTTGTTTTGTCACAATCTTCTTAAGCAATTAATTTGAAAAGGATAAAAAGCAATTCTTGTTACTTGGGATAAGAAGTAAGATCGTTATGAGAATCCTGGGTATCCTTTTGCTAATTTGAACGAACTGAAGCAAGTGATATAGCGTTTTGTTGAGAAATGAGGGAATTTCTCAACTTTGCGGCTTGTACTTTTGACTTTTGTTTGGGTTTAATTTAAATTACCTCGCATTGTCAAACAAGAAATGTTTCAATTTTGCAGCTGATTTACAAAACCGTTTATGTCAACGACTTCAGTTTTCTTTGTTTCAGAGAGTTTTCATTCCGCAGTTATTGTAAAGGCCAACGAAATAAAAGGATTTCTTATTAACGGATGAAAAGGATACTTATAAATGTAGAGAAAAAAGGCAAAGTTAAATTAGACATTGACATTAAATTATGCCACTTATTACGCGTAGCAGTTGGCAGTAAGTAATTAAATAATAACTATTATCAACATTTATGATTTTTTGATCTTTGAGAATGTCAGGGAGAATTGTAAGCAATACAAACTGGAAAATTGCAGTTTCCTCTAAATGTCAAGAATTTTTTTTAACATTTAAAAGTGCTTTCTTAGCTCAAATGTGTAACTTTATTTACTATTATTCATGTAAAATTTTCACTTTTTCCAAATGCCTCGAAGCCCAAATAAAGTGGAAAAATTTTTGATGAAGAGAATTTTGAAAACGGACAGTCCGACCCTGCGCTACAGGCGATCCAATTCAGACGGAGGATCAACTAAAATTTTCTAGAGACACGAAGGATTTAAAAAAAGCTGTAATAGTCTCCCTACAACGTGTCGTTTCGGAATTGTTGTAGTTGGAAGTTTTGGTGGAGGATTATCCTTGAAATCTAGGACTTTAGGAATCTAAAAAATTCGTAACTCTATAACAATCCAACCCTCGTGCGATTCTTTGGCCTTTCATTCTACATTCCATTCAGAAATTCAATAAGAGAAAATGTTTAAGTTCATTGTAGGTGATTTAAATTATTGTTATTTTGTTATAAGTTCAAAACTTTTAAGGAGATTGTTAAAAGTTTTACAGGTTTCATCTTTATTAGACTCCTTTCAGTAATGAGTCACTAATTGGATCTCTTTAGTTAGTATGCTAGGGTAGTGTTTCACTTAACCTGCTTTGAAATACATTGTCGTATGAACGTCTATCTAATCCTTTGCTTGACCTCGACATATGTATCGACTTCTTTGTTAGTACACATAACTTTAATAACGGAAAGTTTTGTTTCGCAAATATTGAAACACTTTTTTTGTATTCTTTGAAATTTACAATTAACATTAAATACATTTGGACTTGGGTGTAGATGAATAGAAATAAAAATAGGATACCTAATAAAAAATATGAAATACTCAGTACTCACCGGTGCGTGCTCCTTTGTAAGAAATGGGTTCTTCCTGCAGCTGGAATTTCATCTGGCTCCACGGGGGACGGGGACGGGGCGAACGAGGGGTTGTCGGCTCCCTGCAAAGAAAAGAATTATTAGTATTATAATGGAAAGTATTAGGTTTATACAAGGAATCGTGTTAACATTGTATACTCTTTTTTTACGTCGAAAGCTTGAAACATATTGCATTTCGATATAAAAGAAAGTAAATAATTGGGCAGTACCTACTGTTTAATTCCATGAACGTTTATAAAGAATAAATTATAAGATTGATTTAGTATATGAATGTAAAATGATGAAAGAATTTAAGACTAATATACATGTTCGGAAGCCATAAAAACCTAAGCTATTCTTGAGCTAATTAGTAAAACATATATATCAAGAGATGCTACCACTTGATCTAAAAAATAGTGTTTTTCTGGGTTTGTAGAAAAGTGCGTGTGTACTCCCACATCAATGTTGATTTGTTTGAATGAATACTGACGAGAAACTAGGTCGAAATAATTTTCAAAGGCGTGTGCCTTATTACACAAATCCTACGATTTTACTTGTCTGGAAAATGAATTTCAGTGGCTTCATTTTGTAGAAGACGAAAACAAGGAAGTTGAGGTAGAGATGCATAACTTTTGACAGGAGGATGTTAAGTGGGATACAACAACGTACCTACATGTAGGAATATTCAAGAATGTATCTTCATTTTCCAGCAACATTTTATCCTTTCTGCGTTCCTTGTTTCATATTGAAATAGGTACGTACAACACTGTCGAATACACTGATGTGAAATAATGAATGAGCTACATTAATTAAAAGTAGTAAATGTTGACTTTGGTAGTTGTATAAACAAAATAAAAGGTAACACTCATTTTATTTACCATTAAAACACATGTTTCGCTTACTTCTAATGTTGACATTATTAAAGCGAGTCATCTATACGTTGTGTAAAAATATTTCAGGAAAATATGCCATTGTTTTAATGCTTCATATATACGGACAGAGGTACAGTTAATTAAAAATGGCTTGGTTTGATTTTTGAGGGTAACAAGATTCTATGGATATTACAGAACTGCAGTAAGTTGTAGATTTTAAATGCCTCCCCATTTTGAGTATTTAACAACTATTTCTATTAGATTAATATGTACTTAATTAAATTAAAAGATGTAAATGCTAACAGGAACGTATTTTTATAATTTTTTTCGTCGAAAGCTGCGAATTACTTTTGTAAATGTTCATGAAGCTTTTTTTCTCTAATACGTGCTTTTCTCCCTGATGGTTCTAATTTGTATTCAGAACGAATTCTAAAGACAGTTTCCACTAGTGACATTTGTCGGGTAAAGCGATGTCTATAGATACCGTTTATAAGATGTGCTTATATGAATTGCGACCGACTCACTGATAGTGGGATCTATTTTTCTGCCTTACACTTCCAATCATTTATGATCAAACATAAAATTGGCTAATGTAAATGCAATTACATCGGTTTTGGAATTTAGCCAAAAGGGATCTAGAATGAGTTCCTTCATTTGCACCGAATTAATTTACCCGAAAGTCAAGTTATATTCAACCTCAATAAGGACAGTTTCATAGTTTACATCGTTTGACTATTATCTTTTATCTAGAGTAATTGTTACTTTAGATGCAAGTGACCGTACAGAGTACAGAGATGGCTTTTAATGTTTTCTTAAGTATACGGAGAATGTTATCACGACTTTTAAACTATCGTATATACAATAAGCCCAGTCAAATTTATTTGATATTGTATGTGTGTATTCTGAAACTTGTCTAATGGTATTTCGTGTAACTGTTTCATAAACATTACTGTTCCTGAGTTTAATATACGGGAGAGCAGTTATACAAATATATGCCCATCCAGAAAGAGATTTTCCATTTGCTCGAATCTGTCTGTAATTACCTCTATTATGTGCAATTATGCAGAAGACTGTTAACCGAAATTACGCAAGTTCTCTTCTGGGAAATCACCGCAGTAATAGACATGGTACTGCGGGGCACACGACCTCAACCTACCACTAGCACCAGGATAAATTCATACAAATATGTATGCGGAAGTAAAAAGGTTACTCGACTGTACTAAAGGGAGCTGTTAATTCAAATCGGAATACACGACTTTGTATATATAAATATATATATACATATATAAATCATATTCGTGGAGTGTAATAATGGTAATTATTGCAACCATTACAATGATTTTATCAGTAATGCGATTATTAATAATAGAGTAGGTGAATAGTGCAAGTATGAGTTACGTTAAACAACATTAATCCGTCGGTTGTTTTATTAATATTATGAAATTAATGGAAGGTTATGGCACGAAACAAATACATATATCAATAATTTCCCGATTATTGCTTTTAGTGGAAAACGAAGCAAAATTGGTAAAGGCTTTCGCGGCCCGTTTGCTGCCCTGATTCGGGTTTGCTTCCTAACGTTTGGCTAGCAGGAATGGCGAGTTACTTCAAAGGTCTATCCGATCACTCAGTCCACATACCAGCATTGGAGATGGAAGGACCTCTAAAGAAGGTCTCCACTCGTGTTAGCGAAACTGAAAATTCTAGGCCAAAAAATCCTTTGTCGATATAAACAGATAAAAACAGATGTGAAGATTGTGTCAATAATTGATTTTTCAATTTAAATTTTCATTCATTTATCATTAAATGTGATTATGGCGTATGTATTTATTGCAGAAGACCCTGTACAGTACAAAAAGACGAGAGCATTTTCGATTAAAATTATCTGAAGATATCTACATGTTTCGTTTGAAAGCAACCCGTAGAGGGTTTTATACGTTCAACAGTATAATGCTGCTTTTGTTATCAGCA